TGAAGAACAATTTTCGAAATACACAAAGAAGAAACATAGTTATCAAGATGGAGTGGAAGGAACAGAGTAATTAGGAAGAAGTAGAAACCAAGCATGAACGGGACAGTAAATGCAGAGTACAAGATATACAATCAAGGAACAATTACAAGGGGAAATCAATTGCTTCCCACGAAGATAGGTTTACAAATTAGACAATAACACGTTGAGCAAGATAGTAAGTTTAGAGATTATATAACCAAAGGAGATTGTGTGGGAAGCGGATACGAGAGGTGTGGAAGTCTTCTCCTAATGACTTCATTAATATCTTTGGATAGCCGGCAAGTTCTACGATCGTAGCGGAGTGCGGAGGAAATATGAGAGTGGGTCTGCGGATACCTTCTATTAATAGTAATACCTTCTGTGGCATATAGCGAGACCGCAAAAACCGCAAGGCAAGAGCCTGGCAATGGGAAACTTCTTAAAGTCAATCTTAGCAGAATGTCGAAGGTTTTTATAAATAAGTTAAGGAAAACTTTGGAGAATGACTTTCTTGTGAATTACTATTTGTAGAAAATCTGGTTATATTGGTTAAAACTTATATATAATTGACAACAAAATTGCACCACCTACTCATAAAAAAAAAACAATATGGTTCTACAGTTAAGAAGAATACACTGTACTAAATTGAAATGACAAACACATTATTTCTAGTGAATAGACAATAACAAGAAAAAATAAATATATAAATAGAATATAATTTGTAAATCGCCGTGCCCAGTACCGCACACCTCATCCAATTATACTTTAATTATTACTACAATTAAGTTTTATCAATGGAGTACTGTCTGATAGTAAGTCCATTGAACCTTTTGTATTTTCTTATTAACATAGCCTACTTCAGTTTTTCCTTATTGGAGAATAACTTTTATAGCTTCAGATATTTAAACAGGATGGTCAGCGTTTCCCTTCGACATAATTCTAATACAGAGGCTGTGTAGTATTTATCGATTTTTCCCGGACATTTCCAACAATTCATTGTATTTTTTTCAATGTTTAAACCAGGCATCGTGAAATACCATTGATAGTGATAATCTTCATCGATAATTAAGAAAAAGATCTTCTACTATTGTCAGTAACATAATATAAAAACTTTATGCTGACCAATGAGAGTGCAATTAGGTGTACTCAACAAAACGTCGTCATAATTCCGGGTTTAAGCTCTAGAATTCTTCTCATCTCATCAAAATATATCCGAAAATTATTTATATCGTTGTAGAGTATAAAACAATTTTTCGTTAAAAGGATTTTTTTTTCAAGGTACGAACAAGAGAAATTCCCAAAAAATATAAATTATATTTTATTTTCCAACCTTGCTGTATCAAGTAGTAATTTTATGCTATCGTTATCTAGAGTACATTAACAGAGGGGGTTATAATCCCCCACAGTATCGATATCAGAACAGACATTCATAATCGATTGCCATTGTGGCGAGAACTCGGCCGACAATTAGGAAACAATAGTCGTACAGCCACACCCACACGTAGAAGTGGCTGATTTATCCGGTCCTGTGGGATGTGTGCGTGTGGTCCCAAGTGTGGGCGAGCGCTAACCACATATGTCAACCCCCACTAAAACCCCGTCTATGTTCTGTCACTCTGTTTAAATCTATATATTGAATCCCTTTAGTGGTCGTTAAAAAATATATCTATACACAGACTGCAATATACACATAGGTTTCTCGTACATATGTATATTATATATCAAAGTATATTACACTCTCTTATATAATGGTATAAGAGATAGACATTTTTTTTTGTATTTAATTAACTATTTTAAATAAACAAATGGCATAACTAAAAATAACAAAGATCTTTGCTCGGCCTCCACTGGCTATTAATACCAGTGATGCGTTTGATAGAGAAGCACTGGGATTTCCTCGAGTAATTTTTTTCCACCACAGGTAAGAGAATACCACTCCATATTCAGGAATGTCACTGGGTACAAGTAAATAATGTACAGAAGTATGTTGATATTTAAATCGTTATTTCGCTTAATTTAAACGCAAGTGTATTTTTAATTTTTTTTTATTAATATTATTATTACGCTATCATTCCAATTAATTAGTTTTTATTTTCTGTAAAAGTGGCATAAAAGAACTCTTTTACAATTATTTTAAATATTCTTAATCGTGAAAGAATCGGAAGTATCAACAAATTTTTCGTTCATTTACCCGTACAATAACCCAGTTCCGAGAAATTCCTTAATAAGTTTCTCAAACTCAATAAAAACTGAAAAATAATAATGAAGACAGTCATGGCAGCACTCCTTTTTTTGTTCTTCAGTGTGTATATGTATACACACTTAGGAATAAAAAAAATGTTTTGTTTATTAGTGATACATTTTTTAAATTTTTTTGGCAAGTTTTTTATTTAATACATGTAAGTATACATTTATTATGTCTTTGTATTACATTTAAGCAGAAATCGAAATTAAATACTCTGTCAATTATAGTAATTATATGTATGATGGCTACTCTATTTGTATGAGGCTACCATCCAAAACAAATGACAAATAAATAAAAATTTAATGATAATAATATTGTATGTATAACGGCAGACTATGAAACGTATCGTCATAGCGAAGAGTAACATTATATTGGACGAAACGGTCGTATGTCAACACAATAAGGGAAACAAATAAATAAAATCATTAATAAACAAAATAAAACGACAGTAAAAAAAAATAGAGGAAAAAGCTAAATTGACTATATATATAAGTGTGGGTGAGTTTAGATAGCAATCTGTTTGTGTTGTTAACAGAGCCGGTCTCTGGTTTATTCTCCATCATTAGTAACAGTTTGAATTCTTCTCTAGATATTATTTTTAGAGGATTTTTTAAATTTTAAATTCTTATAATTAAAGTGTAAGGTACAATAGTTTCATAAATTTTAAGCGTTAACAATCATCACAGAGTTATTTGTTTATGAGTTATTTCATTATTTCAGAATTTATTCAGATATCTCTGATGTTTAGATATCAATAAAAAAATAAAACTAAAAACATTCTTTAAAGATCTAAACGAAGATACATTTATTTTTGATAACATATATGAACTATAAATTAGGTAACCTCGTGGGATCCCTCGCAATTGCCCTAAACCTTATAACTTATTTTTAAAAAGAATCCGTTAGCTATAAAATTAATTTGGCATGGAAATAATATCTATAATAATGTAATCATTGGAATTCCTATCTTATCTATTATAAAGTATAAATAAATAAAAAATCGCTATACAAATAAAGTGTTAAAATTGAATACTTAATAGTTGGCCGTTATATTTTAGAGGAAGGGGCGGCGGTCATAAATAGACTAAAATAGTGGCAAAAGTATTTTATTTCAAGCCGACGTTTCGACCCGACTTTGCAGGTCTTCTTCAGGTTTTAACTAAAACTCCTTGCTGAACACACCTCCCTGAAGAAGAAGACCTACAAAGTCGGGTCGAAACGTCTGCTTGAAATGAAATGCTTTTTCCACTATCTAAGTCTATTTATGACCACCACCACCCCGGACTATCTCCATCCTCTAAATTAAAAATTAAAACCTTATAAAATTTTAAAAAACCTATTAGGAAAAATGACACACCTGAAATTTTGAACACATAATAGAACCTTAAGTATTCTAATGAATAGAATAATAAAATACAAATTTATAAATAAATAAATAAAAAAACAGCAAATACCGAAATTATAAAGGCAGTGACATGCAAAATCGGGCAAGTGTTAAAAACCAAAACAAACATCATGCAAGGGATATCACAAACAAATACATGCAGGGGACAAACTCACCATGACGTAATGCCTCTGCATTTCTGTTTTGTCTTGGGCTAATTTCTCGATCTCCATCTTTAAACTGCAGACAGACACCACGGGTGGTGGTTAGGATACAAGGCAAGTGCATGGTTAATACTATTAATATTAAATAATTAATTAAAAAAAAAGAGTACAACAAAACAATAACTAGTAAATAATTAAAGGTTATTAAACAAGGTGAAGCAAATAAAAATAACGTTGGTCTTGAGTAACAACGACATGACAACTGGTGTTTTTTAACTTTTTTTTTTTTAAAGAGTGCTTTATTAATAATTATTATTATTGTTATTGGTTAAGCAAAGTTGTGCGAGGCGTGCAAAGCAGCGAGTGTTAGGTTTGCCATTTCGGTTGCATCAAGAGATCGAGCTATAAGGGGTAAAATAGGAATAGGAACAGGAACAAGGACAAACAGATATATTTTTCACAGTTACATTGAAAATGTATCATTTCTTATAAGGCTCACACGGTATAACATACCGCATAAACACTAGCGGAGAATCAATTGTACAAGAACAGACTACTACAACAAATATAATGAAAAAAATATTTTTAAAAACCAATATTAACATATAGTATTTATATATTTATTTCAATGCAATAATTATTTCTTAGCTATGGCTTTAACGATTATTTATAAAATTAAATAGGAATGAACATTGTAATAATTTTATTAAATATTATTAGGCTGTATAATTACCCTTATTTTACTATTTAATTTTTTTAGGACATTATCTGACTTATTTTGGAAGTACAAATTAAAATTATACTCTGGTAAAAGTATTTAAATAAAAACATCAATATTGATTATTAAAATAATCCCATGGTATATAAATAGTGTTATAATATTTTTATGTTGAAGTAAATATTACATGATTATTGTTGATTGAAAAATTGTAAATCATTTGAAGGACAATTTGATTTTTCAAAACATGTTTTGTTAAAAGCAATTTTTTAAATAATTTCGTTGTTTTTTTTATTTATTTATTTTGAAAAACAAAACGATTATCATTAACTGTGAAAATAAACCTAGTTTACGGAAGAAACATTGTTAGGGAAGGTGGAGGTTTGGTTGAGGAAAAAACCGATTCGGCAAAAGTGTAAGCAACCAATGGCTCTGTATTTTTTATTTCTTTTTTCCTCTTTAAGTCCTTACCATAACGTAGTGTCGCTGGATTTCTATTTTCTCGCTTGCAAGCTTCTCGCACTCCATTTTCAAACTGAAAATTCACAACAAATTTCCAATTTTCAAAACTGTTATGATGGATTGATTAAATTTTTTATTTTGAATTTTTTTTTTTTAATATAAAGAAAAGTGTTTTTCGTAACTGATACAAGAAAGAAACTATTCAATTACGTAATTACGCCGCGATTTTAAAACCAAATAAAACCTGAAAATAACGAGAAGTAGGCAAGTTCCTTAACTCAGCGCTTGAGCCCAGTTTAGAGACAGCTGAGGACTGAATTTAGGAATCTGCCCTTAACATAAAAATTAAATCCTCATTGAAACAATAATCAAATCATTATTAAGATCAACAATTTTTTTTTGTAATCAAGACAATTTGTTTATAATATTTAATAACGAATTTTAACATAAAATAATATGTTTACTCCTTTTTTATTAATTCAATGAGATTCCAATTTAAAAAACACTGACAACATACAATGTATAAAATATATATAATAAAATATCACAAGCTTAAAGTAATGTGTACATAAAATCAAAAATACTTTGAAAGTTTTAGTAAAAAAAACGCACAAATTGATGTAATGGATTCGTTACATTACACCGATCAGATAATTGAAAAAGTATGCTTTTTAAGTCAATATTTTTACGACATCTTTAACCAATTTTAAGTTAAATTTTCAATTAATTTTTTTAAATATAATAAATAAATCTACTACTCCTCTAAATAAATGTTTCGAATGTGAAAATATTGTATATTTGCAACATCACAGATCTGCCTCATTTCAGAATTCCTTTCAATTTCTGCTGTCAATTTCTGGAATTCTCTACCTATCAAAATTCGGCATTCCCCCTCCATATCCACATTCAAATCCCTCCTATTCCAATTCCTATCCCAAAAACAGTCAGATACTTGCTAAACTTTATTAAAGAAATTTAAAGAAACACACCTCATTTTAAAGAAGAACTCAATGCATTTTTTATTATTTTATTTTTCAAAAGAGTATAATTATAATTTTTCCTACTGTACATAGTCTTAAGTGTTTTATCATAGTTTTAAGTGTTTTGTATATAGATTTTTTTTTTTTTTTTTGTACATAGCTTGTTTAACTAATATTTTTTTTACTTTCTCTTTTTTATTATTGTTTTATTTTGGCCAGATGTAGTATTTTAATTATGTTCTATTTTGTTATTCTAAAGGGACTTTGTCCCAGAATAAAGTTATTTTCTATTTCTATTTCTATATTTGTTTTAACGTATTCACAATATTAAAAAAAAAAAAATAGAATAATTGTTTAATTATTGCCACAACATAAAGACCAATAGCTAACTTATTTTTTTTTCTTTTGTCTGTTCACGAAGACATGGAGGGACAGATTTTGATAAAAATATTCTCTTTAATTATATTGTTAGGAATAGACATGACACAAAATAAATAACTCAATCTCACCAATGATAGAATGGCTTTGAGCGGAAGAGTCCATCTCCGGGCGACTAAATTTAGAAGTGTTGGGGGGGGGCGAGAGGGAGGGAGGGTGCATCCATTCATCTAAACCAGTCTAATGTGGAGTATCTACCTCCTTCAATGCTAGTGATCATTACCGAGCAGGGACTTAAGTTAGAGGCTCGTAATTATATATTATAATTATTATTTATTATAATTATAATTATAACCTCCTCTATCATCCCATAGATTTTTAATCACAGTCTCGTATTTATATGTATAAGAAATAAATTAATTTTTTTTTTCCTATCCCCCAGGAATTTATTTGCTATACAAAATACAATATATAAAGAAATATATATACGGAAATTAGAAATTTTTGTATATATATTTCTTTATGTATTTATATATTGTATTTTGGATAGTAAATAAATTCCTGGGGGGTAGGAAAAAAAAAATTAAATTTTGTAAAATTAATAATTAGAAGATGGAATTTTCAAAAAATGATAAAATATGGATTGTTCAATAGAAAAACTACGAGCGTGAAAAAAATCAAATTGTTACAATGTATACAGTTTATTTTTTTTTTTTTACCAGTTTCCTAATGTAATAGTTGGTTTCCTAAACCATTCCTAAGTCATGAAAGTTAAAACTGAACCCCTGTAGATCATTTGTGTAAATAAATTATACGAATGATTAATTTTTTTTATTACTGAAAACTAAAAAATACTTCAAACCTATTTTATTTATAAAATAGGAATTTGCACATTGTGATCTTGCAATATTTCGAAATTAGTGACAAGAAACTAAAATATTAATATAAGCCGTTAAAAAATTGGTTTGAATCGAGACCTTTTTATTTTTAGCCGCTTTAAGTATACTTTATTAGAATTCTTAATAAATTAGAAATTGTCCATACCCAATCCTTAGCCACAATTAAAACTATTCTAACTTACGTATTTGTCTATAGATTACTATCCCTTTTTAATGAGTTATAATACAGTTGAGTATTTATTTAAACTTTTTTAATAACATATATAAATCATTATTTTTATTGCTAAGATGTGCTTATAAAAGTAAGTTAATTTTCCTTCCTGTCTTAGCGATTTTTTTTTTAGTAGCAAATATATTGTTTCACTATTTTTGTATTACTTATTCTTTTATTGATATAGGTCATATAGTTGAGATTAATATTTATTTGTCTGTATTGTTATTCTATTTTATAATATGCATGTATGATCATTTTATTTTGGCCTATCACTTTCCAATTTGGTTTTTCATATACTTGCACCATCTTTATAACTTTGTTTTTATTTTGTGAAGTATTTACAAATAAATAAGCATATGTAGAAATTTATTATTTTATCCTAAATCTAAAGCCTGTTTAATGCATTAGGTGCAATCCCAACCTAACCGACAGCCACGACTCTCGAAGGAGAATTCACTCGGCAAATTCAAATTAGCAGAAAGAAAACGTGACTGAAAGTGGCCGGGAAAGGTGTTGATGTAACGGCATCGTTTGGGGGAAAGGTGGAACACGACGCCGAACGAGGAATGAAGCGGACTGATGGAAGGATAAATAGATAGTCGATTTGAGCTATATCGATATGACTCAGGGGTTTGTGTTTGCCGGGTCAATATTTGCAAGTTTGTGACACTAGGGCAGTTAATGAGGGGGTTGGGTTTGCGGCTTGCGGGCGCCCCACCAGCTGTGGTCGTATCGCCGCGAGCCGACCTATTAGGTACTCTAACTCTTCTTGTCCGCTTTCTATAATTATTATATACAGATAATACCCATATAAATATTATAAAAATGTCTACGTCTATCTATTATCCCGATGATTATATACATATAAAATATCTTCACAAATTATTTCTCAAAAAAATTTTTTTTGTCGGTACGCTGTATACTTGTTAACTCTTTATAAAATCCACTGATTAATGCTCCTTCATGGGGAGGAGAGAGAGGACACATCACACAAAAAATTCAAGAAAAAAATAAATTGTCAATTATTTGAAAAGTTGTTAAATTCCATAGAATACGAAAAAAAATCATCGAAATCGGACTATTTGTACATAAGCAAAGATACAGCCTATTGTAGCTTTTATTCAGGTTTTGGTTTATTGATATGAATGAACCATTATGGTATTCAAATTATTCGCACGGGGCAAATATTCTTTGATATTATAATTCACAAAAAAAAAAAAAAAAGTTCCCTCTAGAACTGTTAAGAGTAAGCTAAAAATGCATAGATAAAATTAAAATTTATATTATGATAATTTATTGGTGTAATTAAAAGTTGATAGACGTGTCAGGAACCTTTTGAGACGAGTGGTTATATGAGTTTCGAATTACAAAAGAAGGAGAAATGACCGGCAAAGGAAGCAATCCTATAAAATGGAGAATAAATATTTGGTTAGGTTCTCGAGTGTTCAAGAAATGGATAAAAGAATGCAGAGTGTGGAGAAAAAGTAGGAATCAAGGATGTATGTCTTTTAGCGTGAAGGATAAACCCACTTTATAACTAAGGGTAATGACAGAGATACGAGTGCATTTTGGAATTTATAATATAATATATTTCATAAAACAGCTCATCAGTTCATCGGTAATACCTCCCAATATCAAGTAAACCTAAATAATAGCTAAGAAGAATGGAGAAAAGTAGCAGACGGGTTTTTAAAGACCAGAATTCGCGTAGCCATGGTAGGCTGAAGATGGCTGAATTGGCGAAACGTTTTGATTTTAAACCTTACAATAATACCTTAACTAAATCTGTCGATAGTAAGGATTAATAATTTTTAAATTAAATAGGACAAAAAACCTATAAAGTTCCCAAATCCAACTCGGTAACTCTTGATCCAGGATTCCGGATTGGCGGACTACGCTAAATAGTTTCAATAGGTAGGATGTTCCAATGGGACGAGCATTTAGTCCCAGAATCCATCAGGTGTAATGGAGGATTTCTACGGACCATTGGGCCATCCGGGATCCCAAACTAAATCAGCTAGTTAATCCAATGCCTCGGCACCAACCGTTATAATGCTTGGGATTAAATATCTGTCCGTCCCTTCTGTCCTATCAGGCTATATCGAACTCCCAATTCAAAATTAATAATTGAATCGGCAATAAGAGGAGAAATGTTTCATACTTGACTATGTTATATATCTAAGTATATAACGCATATAAAACAAGAAATAACTCCGCAATTCTTAACAACTTCACGAAATGCAAATATAATAGGCTCCAATCGCCCTCTTAAAATTGTTCCTAATATTCCAACTGTCTACATAAATGATAATCCCACCAAATTTTATTTCACCATTAAAAACTTTGGAATATCCATTGATCAAACTGTTTCCAGAAAAAACCACGATCTCCCTCCGTCCCTTTTATATCATAAACATTAGAAATCCGAAGGGTCTTGATCACTTCCTCAATATTTCCCCACTTCGACTATCGCTGTACGGTAGAGGCGCGTCTCTGAGGATTTCGAGACGAAACTAAAGTTGCTTTGTACGATTTATCTTCAGGACCCCACGGGACGCCTCTGTTTTTATGAAGAGTTGAACTGGCTTCATCCTCCCTACCATTGTAAATATTCCTTAGCTTCCTCTTCATCTTTCCTTTTCTGAATTATCTAATACAGCTATGCACCATACAACCAGCGATGCCACCAAACCTTGGGTTTCGACAGATCTTTCATCCCTATAGAACTACATCCCTTCCAACATTCGTCGCTCCAATAACCTCTCCACTTTCAAATCCCGCCTATTCAATCACTTTCTATCCATCTGGTTCCCAAAAAATTTTAAATATGCATATAAATCATTGCTCCGTTTTTAATTATTAAACTTTCACGTTTCTTTAATTAATCAGTTGGAAGTTAATTTATATCTTTTTATTATTTCTATTCGAATATTTTTAAACCTTTTTTTATGTAGCCGTCCGAGAATAAATAAGCGTATTATTATTATTAAAATAATTTTTCAAAAGATTTGGTAAACAAAAGTGATTCATAAAATAGGTTTTTAAATAGAAAATCATGGTTTTACGTTTAGAAGAGCTATTGAACAGGCAGGATGTGGTTAAAGAGCGTGAGGCAATCCGCAAGTTCAGGGCGGACGGTAAGAGCTTGTGCAAGATAAGACCCGTACGTGACAGAACCTACGTGTCTTTGTCTGTCCTTAAGTGTCTGAGAGAGGGAGGCAACTGTCTGAGCCCTGATAACTGTTATCGCTCCCGGTTCTGTTTGCTCCCTACAAACAGGGCCAGACACTGCCGCTCTAGAAATGTTTGCCTAAGGCATTTATTCTGCCTCGAACAAACACCCGGAGGCAATTCCGATGATAAAACCATTTAGTCGCCTGGCAACACCACCATCTGCCAAGGTACCCTGCGGCATGCCAAGCTTATTTCTTATACTCAGGGGATATTCAACATAGGGGTCAATTCTCAATGGTAGTTCTTTTGTTCAAATATTATTTAGTTTCATGTGAATTGTCAAGATAAAAGATTTTCACACGTTGAATGTTAATATTGCACGTTGGCAAGTTCCAATTAAAAAAAAAAATATTAGGAGATTATAGTATAGTATTAAATGGGTCGTTTATTTCCAAAATGAACCAATATCATGAATTACATATTTTCAGGGAACTTGAAAAAATATATTTTATATTCTAAATGTAATATGAAAACCATCATTTAGAAAAAAAATTATATGTAATGCATATTATCAAAATAAATAGTAATAAAAAACATTGAAACTTAAATAGGACCGCTTTGGAAATAATTTTGAATAGAAAAAAGATTGATTAAGGTTCCATTTGGAGAGAAAAAAAAGGTATATGATTCGGAGGGGAAGTTACAAAAAGTTTATTATAAGAAAATAACTTGTTTTCAATTTTCATTTGAATAAAATGATTAAAAAAGATAAAAGAAACATGAAATGCAAATTTCATTACTTTGCTTGAAAAAAAAAGAAGAAAAAAAAGAGGCCAGTTTCAGAAATAAACGTATTTTCATGGCCCGTTTTCTAATATCCAGGTTTGTTTCTAAAAAAAAAATTAAAAAATTGTGCTATTGGATTCATTGGGTGTTTTTACATAGGAATCCAATCAATTAATAAATAAATGAAACAAAATTAAAATACATAAATAACGTAAGACGACTGACGAAAGAAGCATACTCAATCAAATACTGTAGTCTATTATAAATATGTATCTTATCACTGCTAAATAAATTTTTTAAAAATCAAACGTATGTAGAAACTTAAAATATATATAAAATATATCTTGATGAAGAAGTTTACTAAGAAATTTAAAAATGTTTAGCAAAAGATCAATGCATATAAATATACAAAGTTTTATAACTGCAGTGATAAAATATATTTTTTTAAACTAATATAATTGTATTAATATTGAATCGTTTATATCAACCTGTTAAAATTGTATGGATATGTATAAATGGTCAATATTATAATTATAATAATGCTTTAAGATAAAATTTGGTACCCTTAGTTATATGATAAATGAAATATACCAACTTCCAAGAGCACGAATTTACAAGCAATTTCTGTTAACTACAAGACAAATTTAAACTAATAGAAGCTCGTTTAAACTTTTATTACACCGTTGGGTTTGTAAAATAAAATAAGAGAAATAAATAAAATGAAGTTTTAAAATAATTATTTGAAAATTACCAGATTTATAAATCTTTGATAAAATAATGTAAACATGAAAAATATTTACAAAGATTTAAAAAAATAACTGTTGTTCCATTAAATCAAATCGTTTTCATCACTTTCATCTTTTCCATATTTAATAGGTATAATATTTCTTTAAGCATATTTTTATTTAACAAAATCTATATATCTTTCGGTAATTTAATTTACATTAAATTTATTACTGTACATCAAAAAAATAATATTTAAATTATTTCAATTGCAATTAAGTACACTATCCATTTAATTTTTATTAATTAATTGATGTATAAAGTAAATTGATTTTCTCACCTATGGTACTGCGCTTGCAGAAAGCTAAATTCTTCTTTTATCCTATCACATGACTCACCAACCGTAAACTTAAATGGCTGCCCAGGTTGCGGAGGCCCCTGTAATAAAATGAATTAATTAATAAACTATAAACATAAAAAACAAATAAACAAAACAATAAAAGGTGTAAAGAAGAAATAATAATATATTTTAAGAATGGAAAAATCCGAATACACAAGAAAAATAATATAAAATATATAAAGTGACTTTAACAAAATCTATTCACTAAGTAAGAATAATAAAGACAAAAAAAAAACTCAGTGCAGCGTTTATAATCAGTCATTTTTTTCAATGAGAGATGGATAGTTACTAAATATTTATTTACATAATAATATTAAAAAAACATTAGGAATGATCTTTAAAATTGATAAAAACAGTTATGCCATGATCAGAAGATTAAATTAAAATGTATGCCGTTAAAGCTGATGGAAATTTAAATACTTTCCGTAGATTGTTCGCTGTGACTTTAGTTTTAGACTGCTAGTTTTGCGGTAAGACGCACCTGATTTTCAGTCTTATTTCAGATCATTTTATCGTAAATATGTTTAACACTAGGTATGAAGATAAACTGATCAAATCTGATTTCTTATACAAAAATGTCAGTCGCGTTAAAAAGGATTATTATTATTATATCAATTTGATTGATTGAATTGATGTAATGATTTAGCTGTTGTACGTGAGGCGCGATTGAGTAATTTCACACATTTTCAAATTTTTCTTATATTTTAACAATAAGAACGCAAATCCCGAATTTTAGTAAAGCATATTTGCAAAGATAATGTGACGAGAACGATGTTACGTCATACTTGGGCCAGTGCCTAGTACTATTGTACTCATTAGTTTGAAATAGTTTTTACAATTTTAAAACTTCATGTAACAAATATCTTTTATTTTTTTATCTCTAATTGTCATCTCTGAATGGAAGAATATAATGTATTTAATCAGCTTTTACAGGAAAAAGAGATGATATATTCAGTATACGTCACGCTACACCCCCAGACACAACCATACCTCGCACCATTTTTTCAAGGTTTTAGCTAAATATGAACTTTTTATTATTATTTAAATGGTGCAATCTTAATCTTATACAAGTGTTTTATGAATTGAATTGTTTCATGCTAAAATGTACGTATTTTTTTCCTAGGCAATATCCACTAAAACATATAAAATATTACAGGCTAATAATAAACTCCTTTCTTATTTCATAGCATATTATAATTAAGCTCTCGCCATTAATTAGTTTCTGGTTTTAATAGCCTCTTCCTGACTGAGATGCCCCCCCGGCCCGAGTACCCTATTAGCTCCCCCCCCCATGGGGACCCGACCGGCCGAGGACAAACCGAACCCGGGGGAGATATTAGTTGGGGTGAACTGAAGCCACAATTTATGCGGGGCCCAGACCGCGGGCATCAGTATTCCGCAGGCCTTGCGGATTCCCTGCCCAGCTCACGTAGCCCCAACTAACAGCCAACTCCGTTCGGGTCCACGTAATTGACAACAAACTCCCGAAATTTTGTAATTAAATTGACTCCCTCTAGTTCCCGGCTATAGTCCTGTCCGAGGAATCTAGCCTTCGGCAAACACAATTTATGTTTGTTTCAAGAAAACTTGTAGAACGAACCCTTCTCTTCTCAACACTATATAAAGAAGGGTATCACAACAAAAAATATAAAATCATATTGCTAAAATATCCATGTTGAATATTTAATAGTTGACCGTTTCATTAAAAAGGAAGGAGACGGTCCGGGGTGGCGGTCATAAATAGGCTAAATAGTGGCAAAACTATTTTATTAAAAGCCGACGTTTCGACCTGACTTTGCAGGTCTTCTTCAGAGCTAGAACGGACAAGATACAAAAAAATAGAAAATTGTGGAAGTTACATAACATTTAGACAAAAAAATTATAAAAAATGTGAATAAGCTTATTAAAATTATAAACAATAAATGCATTAAAATATAAACAGAGAAAGCTAAGTTACAAGATTCTGAACTGAAATAAATAGATGATAACTATTGTTGTAGTGTAATATATAATATACGCAAATGTGAATATACTTCTACAAATCTACAGAAGAGATTGAAAGAAAAGGAAAAAGGATGTAATATGAAATAATAGAAATAAAGGAATGTGGAGAAAGAAAAGAAAAGAAAAAAGAAAACCAAAAATTAAATAAATAAGAAATGTTGGCTTTTAATAAAATAGTTTTGCCACTATTTATGCCCGCCAACCCGGGCTCTTTCCTCTCTATAGGCTCTCTTTCCTTTATATAAAATAATGTTTGAATGGTTGATTAAGGCCTTAAATAAAAAAAAATGAAAGTAATTACAGAACATTTAGTAGCTGGAGTACATGCGTTATAAATTAAAAAGAGAAAATACTCTGGTTGTTATGTGCAATCACTGAAAAAATATACGGATCGAAAAAATATATATTCCATTTTGGAAAAAGACGAGAGGGAGGCCTGAGATTCTTCATAAAACGATTACTATTATCAGTCCCTAGCTCCAGGATTAATATCCTAATATTTCACACTCCTCTTTTATCTACATTTATTATTCTAATCATTAGAAATGTTTAGTATGTTGTGTTAAGGAATCGAGTATATAACTTGTTTCACTATATCTATACGTATAAATGAAATTGATTTTATAGAAAGAATTATAAGAGATAGAAATAAGAATACGTCCTCAGCACTCATTTTCTGAAGAAAACGTTAATGTACATATATTCTTCCTTTGAGACAAGTGGAACGTGTATCTTGTACGCACATTTATTCCGTAAAAGAAACAGTTGAAACTTTCATTCCATCGTACTTCTAGTTGTCTAGTGATTAAGGACACTAAATTCAGTCGGGCTTGTTAAGGATAAAGACGTTTCAACAGACTGGAAAGGATAGCAGAGCAATGGGCGGACCCTCGACTATTGAGAATAATGAAATAGTAGAACACTGGAGGACTTGTGGAATTCCAGGAAGGATCCTCTCTTCTGGCTCTGCCATTTCAAAGAGACCGCAATGCCTGCGGGAGACAAGGGACCCTAAGTGGACTATCGATCCCTCGGTCAGGAATCAATTGGCTCGGAGAGTCGATCTATTTGGCGGGGGCGGGAGTAATTGGCGGGAAGGCCAGGTAATCCCGCCATTAGCTGTCTCTCTTCCTGTCTTCTCTCTCTCTGTATTCCTTCGTCTACCATTCACTATCTTCCACTCCTTCTCTTTTCATTTTCAACAGTACAGTTAACATTATTTTAATTTATTTATTTTTCGGAGTGGAGAGATAAAACTATAAAAACTGGATTAATGTGAATAATAAATTTAAAAAATAATAGCTAAGATTAAAGATATGTGGAAACGATAATCGACATCCCTTTAGATAATGTTTACAGGACAAAATAATAACTGTATTTTCTATTGTCTATTTTTGTTAAAATAAAAGGGATTTGTATGGAAAATCGTCGATGAAAGGCAGGGTCCTGTTTGCTATTCGTATAGAATCTTTAGAGCACGATTAATAATTTTTAGAGATGTCAGTTATATACGCATAGATAAATATAAGATAGAAAACAACTGGAACAAAGACCCTTCAGAATAAAAAAAATTGTAAAAAAAAAGTAAAAAGAATTTATGTGAACGAGCTATAAACAAAACAATTTAAAATATACACAATGGCAGAACAGCATAAATATATACTTCAAGAAAAGAAGAGAGAAAAAATAACTAGAAAAAAATAACTTGTTTTTTTTATGAAACACTTCTTTAATAGCGCGTTCTGGGATAAAAATTTCACTAAAAGTGCCTTGTCCATGTACAAATATGGAAGTGCAAAGTGGTGTAATTTCTAAAAATATATGCATTAAACGCATCACCAGAAATATAGTCTTAAAAAACACAAAATAAAAAAAAATCTGGCAATAAGATATATAATAGTGATAATAATGAGGACTACTTTATGTATTAATGTATTAGTGGGTACAAACTGCGGAGACTATCCCGCAATCAAAGCTGCTTGCCGGCGGAGAGCGAATCTACAGCCACTGGCGGGACAAGGCATGAATAAAACATGGTGCATCGTAATGAGCCAGTGTTATGTGGTGTTGATCCATTTACAGCCGCTACACATCTCCCTTCTGCACATTTACATCAGAAAAGCACCGAACCCCCGCTATCTACATAAAGGTGGGTACCTCAACCATCGGTTTAAAATATGTCACTCCGAGGCGTTGTCTCAGTCTAGATCGGACTGAATTATAGGTGACATTTTCATTCTATTACATCACACAATAGGCGATTATTTTCAACGCTTGAAGGCATCTGACGTAATAATGAGTCATACTTTATCGTGTGCAATTAATTTGTATTATGTAATATTATAACAACTATTAATCCAATAGGAGTAAACAAATCTTTTTGGGGAGTGAGTTGAGATTCGAGACCACTATTTCAAGATTTTGGGAGATATACTAACTAGATACTATTACGACTAGAGAAGTTCTCTCACTAATTATGAAGATAATTGGATATTGCATGGAAAATGGAATTTTAAATAATAAAAAAGATTCTTATTTAACTATAAACTTGAAATAACAGTGCGTCTCGGAGGTGTGGTGTGGACTGTGGGTGTGGTCTGAAACCGCAAAAATTATTTTTAAAAAACGCATAAAGTAAATATTTTTTTCAAGAGACGTCAAGTGTAAAAGAAAAAACGGGAAGTTTAAACTAATCAGTATTTTTTAAATATTTATTTAATGTAATTTACAACTGAATAAAAATACAATCAGCAAATATGCACATATTAGAAATAATGACATGAACAGACTTGAAGAGATAGTACCCAGTGGTAGCACTCCCTATTTAATTGTAGGTAAGATCACGAGGCCATCTTCTTTTCAGGCGTCTAGAGGAATTACCGGGAACCGAGGAAGAATGCTGGAAACAAGTGGATTCGGATGGGACTGGAGTTTATCATGAAAGGATAAGTATCTGGCCCTGGCTAAATCAGAGACATATGGAACATTAAGGCCTTTATGAATTGTTTTATTTGTGACAAAATATGGCGTATAAATGATTTTAAGAAGGATTTTGGATTGTAAGGATTAGATACGATAAGAATTCGATTGTTTGGTAGAACCCCAAAGGTCAACTCCGTATGTCCATATAGGTTCTATTATGGTGAAGGAGATGAGTCTTTTGTAATTAATTGAAAGTTTAGAGCGTTTGTCTAGCAAGTATAGGAGCAGTCGGAAACGTAGAGCAGTTTCTTGTCGTTTCAGTCTAGTATGCGGATTTGTTCAACAAGTATAAGTTGAATATCATTGAAGGATATTGTAGGACAAGAAGTTGTAGTTATTCGACAGAAAGTAAAGGTAATTTGATAGAATTTATTAGAATTTATTTTTATTCTCCATTTATGAAACCGTTTTTGAAGGTTTGTGATATATGATGGGAGGGTTTGGGATGCAATTAAAGGGTCATTATTAACAGATAGGATACAAGTGTCATCTGCATAGGTGGTGAGGACAGTGTTAGGATTAGTTGGGATATCAGATGTATAAACTATATGATGAATAGGACCGATTATGCTCTCTAGAGAAACACGACGAGTATTCGAGGAGTAAAAATCGAAAATTCATGGAAGAACCCAATCACCTATCTTCATGAATGGTTAACTCGTTATTTGCAGTTCGTCAGGTTTTATTATTGAAAATTAAAACGAAAAGTTAACACACATTTGGACTAGTTACTATTAAAAACTCATAATAAAATTCTAAAACGAAAAATAAATTGCGGAAGAGAAAGGAGCTCAAGGCAAAAGCCACAATGGACTGGTTAAAAGCAGACAAAGCGGAATTAACATTGTAAAACAGCTGGCTGTTACAGATCCTGCCTGCATGCATGATCAGTGAATACATTTTAAAAAATATATAATTTAATTTACTTCGATATAGATAAATTATTTTAACGCGAATTGTAAGTATCACTAAATGTAATCAAAATATCTCGTATAAGAAATATTCTAAATAAAATTTATTTCGTCCTCATATTTTTCCTCAATTAAAAATTATTCTATCTTTCTTTTTAAATGGAAGATTGGACTTAATTATCCTTTCTTTCGTTTTAAATGGAAAATTAGTATTATAAAATAAGTTAATAAATTAATTAATATAAGAAAAATATTTATGCGGACCCTTGTAAAGGAGTATACTGTCTACTTTTCGAATTTTAGGTATTTTTGGGAGACTGTATATATATTCAGTACTAGTGTTGCCCAAAATAGATCTTGGTCTTTTAGGCCTTGTAAAGACCGCCTAATTGCCAGAAGATAAAAAAAAAAAAAAAAAGTTTTGCCGAGACCAAGACCCTTGTTGGTCTTCCATTTGGACAACACTATTCAGCATCATAGTGGATCAGGAAGCATCTGCCAAACCACGGATCCTACCACGCCAGAGACCATCAAATGTCTTTCAATTTTCTATTTGCCAGCCAGAATTAGACCGAAAACAAATAACTCGTTTAGTGTTGTGATCATATATAAAAAACTAAAGTAAAAACATATAAAATTAAAATTGAATATTATTATTATTATGTGTTAGGTGGAGAATAAATATGTGTTATAGTATTCACCGTTTTTGTGGAATTTAATGTAAGTTAAGGTATTTAATCATTACTGATAAATAAAATGACTAGATATTTAAAATTATTAGCTTATAAAACAAACGAAACACAATAATTTTTCCAAACATGCAGCAGATCACAGTTTATTATTTTTAATAACATTATCTCTTAGGACTACAAAAGAATTATTAATTTTTTAGACGACACATTTTTTTTCAAGTCTTTAGTGTTCACGGATTTGTTTATAAAGTAATTTCCAAGCCTTTGAGCACGTTTTCAAAACCTGTTACACATCATCATCATTATTAGCCGCTGAATGGACACCCATGACGCTTTTATGAATACGAGGAGACACGGATTAAAAAATTAGCCTAAATAGCGAGCGTTCCAATGGCGGCGGAATTTACTGGAAAGTAAGCCGAGCCTACATTGTCTGCGCTGTCCTCATTGTGCTGATCCGGGAATGGATTATACACGCGCGTTGTTCCCGCGCATGCGTCACACCTTTTCACGTGTTGGGCCTACACCTTCACACCCTTGCTTCATCAGTTCCTCTTACTTCATGTCCTATTCAATCCGGCTTATGATGTTCGTTGTTGTTCTGAATACGTTACTTTTTATTGGTTGATCCACATGAAATCACTGAAGAAACGAAAATTAAAATAAAAAATCTCAACTTTCAGTTGACAACAAATTCACAAAAACAATCCTGAAATCTACCAAGACTTACGGATAAGAACCGTTGATGGCCACTAAATGTCCGTCTGTAGAACGCATCCAAACCTTCCAGTCCTGAGTCCTTAGAAAAATCGTAAATACCATAATATACGTAGCAAAACATTACACCATCATATTAATATCCGTATTTTTCAAATCCCTTTCTAGCACAACCCATCCCTACAATCCTCTATGAAGATTGAGGACAGTGACTCTGCGAACTTATGTAATATATCATATTTTGCAGTTCTGGCAATGACTAGATTCTCCGCTCACGATATGTATGTGTAAAGCGGTCTCACTCAATCTGTACCAGAGTAATGGTTGTGAGAGTAATGTGGGGATCTTCTACAGTACTGATTTTCCCTACAAAGGTGTAGAGTTCTGGTTCAGAGTTCATTCGCCTGATTGTACATAGGTATGTCTGAGATATTTCACTTCAATTACCTTTTAGTTTATTATATTTTGAATTGTATTATATACTTTTTGTTTATTATTTATTTTATGGTTTCTAACTTTTTTATATTTTCTGTAAATATAAAGTAAAAGTAACTCTTTGCGCACTATAAACATTGCCCATATGACGGAATGTTATATTATTTGATAAATATTAAATGTACAAAAAAAAAAACTTTGATCCAACCTGAATGGCCTTTAAAGAAGCAAAACTCAGCGCCTTGTAAGTTGGAACCATTAGGCCCATGTGGTTCAATTTAGATAATTACGGTCGGTTTGGCAGAGGGCACCACTGGGCGGTCTCGACAAGGGGTCAACTTTTTGGCGGGTTGCCGATTTGGCGGGAGTTGCAAGCAGGTGCCAAATGAGATCAAGGGCCCAGCGGCAGTTTGTTAAAGACAACCCTCCCTCTTCCCCTCTCCCTACAAAACCCCTCGCCCCCTCTCAACTCGTAATTTACTTAGCAATAATGATTTTTCACAGAGACAATTTGGCCTTAAGCCAAAAACAGGGTTCAATATATATATCCCGCAAAATATTTACTCTAAAATGGTTTTCAAGTTCCAATCTTGGACTGTATGCCTATAGGGACTTTATTTCGAGAGTTTCATAAATAAACATAACGAACAGATGTGCCAATTTCGGATCCTGCCCTAGTAGTGATTAATAAAATGTGATACTTTAGATTTAAATGAGATCTCTATCCAACATGTTTTGACTTCTGTCTATATATATATATATATATATATATATATATATATATTTTTTTTTTTTTTTTTTTTTTTTTTTTTTTTTTTTTTTTTTTTTTTTTTTTGATTGGCGCTACAGACCATGAATATCTTTGACCGCGAGTGTGGTATCCTAGACCACATCCCGATTCCCGATTTAAAGTACGGGTTAGGGTCATCAATCCCGTCCCCGCTCGGTGTAAGTTGCCTCCAGTATCCTGACGGGACTCACATACTTGGGGGGAGGCAGGAATCTCAGGCAGCGTGGCTTTCCTTGGTGGATGGTCACCCATTCAAGTGCTCCACGATCGACGCTGCTTAACTTTGATTACAATTGATGCAAGCGCATATAGGTATATATAATAAATATATATATATATAAATAAAATCATTCTATTGGCGTGTTCCCAATTAAAAACAGAACAAACATTGCTAATAAGGATGTATTGCATGATCTATGATATAATTCGTAATATAAAAAAATAAATTACGATGTTATTTCTTTATATTATGAATTATATTATAGATCATGTAATGCAT